AAAAAAAAACTGACTTCTTGGCAAATTATGTCCGATTAGGGTTATCTGAAAACGGACAGGTATTTCGTTGTTTACAGACCATCTTTGTATAAACGATTGTAGCAACAACTGATTTATAGCAATCAGTGCAGTTGTTTCGTGCGCGTACTGCAGGAATAAGAGATCGTTACTCCATTTTCAGAAATTTTAGCCACGAAACAAGAACTTACGTAGTGAAACTTAGTGATGACTTACAATTGGAAGTGTTGTTTTTAAGGGTTTTAGTTGCCTCAAAATTGTCATTATCTGTCACAAAAAAACGTTTTTAAATTTAGCTTTATCTACTTTACAGTTCAGGGGTGTAGTTGTACGGACCTTCAAGCTGTTGAGACATAGCTTGTGTTTCATGCTAATTTATTTCCTTTTTATTTTAATTTCAAAAACTTAACTGTATAACAGCAATACTCACAATAGAGTTTTGATACCTGAAATGTTATTGCTAAAGAATTTTTTTTTTGGTTTAAGTAATAGTTTTATAAAGAGTATTGTAACGGTCATCTTTTAAAGTAGCATTTATTCTTTAAAACAGGTTTATAATCGAATTTAAATTGTTTCAAAACATTCGGCTGAACATTCCAGTAAATATCTCTCATCATCATTATACAATCTGTATTGCAGACAGAATTCGACAGTTTTCCAAAACAAATTTTTTTTTTTTTATACTCAGTTCAAAAAAGTTGATGTTGCTTTGTATGCGAAAGAAATTACGTCTGTTTTTGTTGCAAAACTGTCAAATTTAAATAGTTTATTAGAAGTTACATCAAACTCCATGTTTCTAGAACAGTTTTCATCGCCTCTTTCCGCTGTAAATAAGCCTTATAATTTTTAAATTTATAATTAATTTGTTGAGATAATAAAAACAAAAAAAAACCTTTTAATTTTCAAATTTAATGCAGCTATTTTATGCACAGTTGTAGCTGAATCAGTAACACTAATTCAGTTTGGAAAATGACTTGGAAGAACAAAAGCTTAATGACAACATAATAAACATCAACGTGATAAGTCGGTGAAAATGAAAATCTTTTTTTTTTTTTTTTTTTTTCGTTTCA